TATATATATATACCATAAAGGAGCCTCATAAACAGTGTACTGCCGTCATATATGCTGATCCAGAGCATCCCAAACATGCTCAATAGGTAACATGTCCGATGAGAATGCTGGCCATGCAAGAACTGGGATATTTTCAGCTTCCAGGAAGTGTGTACAGATCCTTGCAACATGGAGCCGTGCATTATCATGCTGCAACATGAGGTGATGGTCGTGGATGAATGTCACAACAGTGGGCCTCAGGACCTCATCACTGTATCTTTGTGCAATCAAAATGCCATGAATAAAATGCACCTGTGTTCCATGTCCATGACATATGCCTGCCCCTACCATAGCCCCATTGCCACCATGGGCCACTTGATCCACAGTGTTGACATCAGCTAACTGTTCACCCACATGATGCCACACACTGTCTGTCCTGAAGAGTGAAAACCAGGATTCATCCATGAAGAGCACACTTCTTCGATGTGCCAGCTAGACACCAACGAATGTGAGCATTTGCCCACTCAAGTCAGTTACGATGATGAACTGCAGTCAGGTTGTGACCCTGATGCGGTTAACGAGCATGCAGAAGATCTTCCCTGAGATGGTTTGACAGTTTGTGTAGAAATTATTTGATTATGCAAACCAATTGTTTCAGCAGTTGTCTGGGTAGCTGATCTCAGATGATCTTGGAGGTGAACATGTTGGATGTGGAGGTCCTGGGATGGTGTGGTTACAGTTAGCAGAAAAGCAAAATGGAGTCACTCTTCACACACCAGGACATACCTCTCACTCATGGTGTCGATTTATGGCCAACAACACAAACTCAAAGTTGAACAACTTGATCAAACTGAACAAGAAAACTAGAACAGCTAATTTTTACTCTCATGAATGTCTTTAATAGTCATAAACATGCAAAAAAATCATTTCTGCAAGATTTCTCAGCAAGGAATTCTGGGTAAATGCTGGTCTGTCTGACATGAGGTGGAAGAGGGCGGGGCTTTTCGGAATACTGCTTTCAACACTGCATGGTGTCATATAACAACACTGTTTAGTGTTATATAAGACTTAACTGTGGGCGGAGCTTATTTAACACTGTCCAGTGTTGAGACAACAATGAGGAAATCAACACTGAGAATTAACACCAACACTGAGTGTAAGTGTACCCAAAGTGTTAAAATAACACTAGGGGGTGTTAAATCAACACCCAAAAGTTTAACACTGAAATTTTAACACTCCTGTTTTTGCTGTGCATGTGGTCTGCGATTGTTGGATGTACTGCCAATTTTCTGAAACTCTTTTGGAGACTGCGCTTATGGTAGAGGAATGAACATTCAACAGCTCTGGTCCACAACCATGCAGTCAGCATGTCAATTGCACACTCCCTCAAACTTGCCACATCTGTGGCAATGTGTTATGTAATAAAACAGCACATTTCAGAGTGACCTTTTATTGTGGCCTGCTTACGGCACACCTGTGCAATAATCATGCTGTCTAATCAGCATCATGATATGCACCTGCAAGGTGTGATGGATTATCTCTGCAAATAGGAAGTGCCCCAGCTCAGTGAGAAGCTCATGAGCTATTTTTTATGGATGTGTTTCCTGTTTTCTACAGCTGTCAGATTTTGTATGTACCCTGATGGAAATGGAAATAGTGAAAAGTGAACAGTAAAATGTGGAAAACACGACTCAGCTCAGTATAATCAGCTGCACATATTTGTTCAGGTGCGAGTTTTCACCTACCTGATTGGCAGAGAGATGACATTTGCCCAGAACACCAAGTGGATTGCCTGCAATAACAAAGGTCAGCCTTGAGTGTGAGTGTGTGTGTGTGTGTGTGTGTGTGTGTGTGTGTGTATGTGTGTGTGTGTGTGTGTGTGTAGTTTTTCCTCACGTATACTCTCTTGTATATTTTTATGTCTTTTTAAGGCTACTACACACACATCTCAACCCTGGCTGATGTTCAGGAGAACGTCATGGAGTACCTGCACGTGCTCAGCCGGCCAATGGTCATTAACCACGACCATGACATCATCTGGACAGAAGCCTACATGGACACTGTGGTGAGCTGAGCTGACCAATCAGAGGACTCACACAGGCAGAATTACAGCCTGGTCTAAATATTTTATTGTGTTTTCATTTGTGGGGGGTGGAGGGGCTTCATTTTTCCATAATCATACCCCACAGGGATCATCATCTGTATCACATCATTTTTATCTGTCTGTTTCCTCCATTCATGTGGAATCATTTTCCCATCATCCCGTGGGACATCCCTTCCTTCATTTTGACAGCTTCCCAACACCAAAGAGGTAAAAAAAAAAAAAAAAAAAAAAAAAAAAAACAAAGAACTGAAGACAGAATCTGTAGTTACTCGTCCGATTCATTCTAATAAAGTCCTAAAGTCAAGTTCTAGACTCCAGATTTCATACTGTACAATGTCACATAGTTAAAGGAAGGAAGGACAAAGGTTAGGGTCAGCTTTAGACCACATTTATTTGGCATCAGAGCTGACACCAAGGAGACAAAAAATATAATAAGTAAAAACATACAGCGCCTCAGAGAACCTGAAAACCAAGTCCAGACATGGAAGCGCTGAAGTGCTCGCAGCTTTTTGTTAAAGGGGCAATATCATGTAAAATCAACGTCTTTGAGTTTTATATCATGTTATAATGTTATACTCTCATAAAAACATGCCCAAAGCCTTGCTCTGACTCATTCATGCTTGTTTGAGAAATCCTGCAGCGTTTTTAGGCAGCCATGCTGAGGAGCAAAATGACAGGTGGGGACCAGAAACGCCTCTGGGTTGTGTCCTTGTGGGACAATCTCCTCCTCTGGGATGTGTCTTTAAGCCGAACTTCCTCATGGCAGAGCGTCCATCCCCCTCCCCACACACCTCGCCCATGACTCCTGCAGGCTCTCGGCAGTAACAAAGCAAACAACGGGTGAAACTGAAAGTGAAACTGAAACTGTCTGCTGAGGTCCTAACTAGGGTTGGGTATTGAAAGGGTTTATTTCGATACCGGTGCTAAATCGGTACTTTCAAAACGGTACCGGTTCCTAAACGGTATTTAAATCGGTACGTTAAAAATAAATAAATAAAACACACACACTGACACAGAGGTTTATGAAGCAATGATTATTTCTGAGGCAAAGTCAAACTTTCAATTGACCAACATAACTTAAAACTAGAAAACATTAAAAAAATTAATTCATGTTTTATTTTATCTAGTGCTAAATATTCTGTTTTTATTTGTATATTAATCAGATTAATATATTTTTTACATAAAATAAAATGACTTTTAATATTCCAGCATTTTTGATGCTAAAACAGCATCTTGCCATATTTGTAAGGACTTCACACACGCAGCGCTCATAGTCTGCCTCAGTCTGCACCCGTTTTTTTCACACCAGGCAAAAAAATGCATTTAAACCAGCTGAAGTTAAGTTTAGAGCACAGTTTGAAATGCACACCGAAAGAAAACTGCATCACGTCTTTATACTGTGGTCAGAGCAAACGTGATCTGCAGCGTCTGTCTGCTGCACGGCGGCAGCTCTAACGTAACAGCGAGAAAGGACCGAGAGCTTTTTATTTTAATCCAGCAGGGAGAACAAAACAGATGTTCTTCTATGCCTCCTGTGAGCAGCTCCAGCATTTTTTAAAAGAAAAACAACGTGGACACGCTAATTACAGTGCGGTTTCAAACTGAAAGTAAAAACATGGTGCTCACTGCGCTCCCGTTCGAAGTGAAACTCAGCTTTTCTCTCTGCCACACATAGTCCGACACAGAGGGCAGAAACAGCTAAATTAGACAGTTAAAACACATTAAAAGTTAATAACTCACCCCTATTGTTGTTGACACTCCGTGGAGATTGTGCTGAGGCTGTCACTGTTAACAGTGAACACCAGAGGGCGCAATTAACAGCTTTCTTTGAGGCACCGATATTAGAGTTGTGTTTCGGTCTGAGTATTACTGTTAATGGAACCGAGTTTCGGTACCCAACCCTAGTCCTAACACTACTGCTCTCTCAGTGAAGCTCTTTTCAGATTCAAAATACCTTTGAGGAAATGCATTTTCAGATGCCAAGTAAACTGCATCGCAGCGCACATGCGACCCCGCCCCCCCGTTCCTAAAGATTAAAGACAAAGAGGCCAATTTCAAGGCGTTTAGAAGAGGAAGTGATGAGAAGATACGTTTATTTTCTATTTAAACATAAAAACAGCATTTTAATAACAACGAAAGGTGACATAGATACTTTATTATGGTATAGTATTTAAATATATGCCTGAGAAACACATAATATTGGCCCTTTAAAGAAACCCGTTGCAATTATTGGTGCTTCAATGATGGAATGGAAAGAAGAGGCGCTAAAAGACAAACATGAGGATTAGAGAGAATCAGTCCAGCAGCGGAGTGAGGAAATGTTTGTCCTCCAGCTGTTTAAGTCTATAGAACTATAGGATAGCTCAGGAAACCTAACCCTAACTATAGGATTCATCCAACTGAAAGAACTAATAAAGATGAACAAAAACCCTAAATTATATGAGCAAAACCAGAAGATCTAGAGAAGATAAGATCTGTTAGTGAGTGATATCTGGTGCTTTGTTCAAAATGCCTGCCTTTGTTCTTCTTCTTGTGATTTTTTTGTTTCAAATGTATGTGTAATACTGATTACCTGGTGTGCTAATTATTGTTTCAGCTCTTCTACACTAAGGCTCAGAGCCTTCTGCTCATGACCTCAGTGGCTATGCCAGTCTTCAGCAAGAAGAAGGAAACGGTCAGTTCACCAAAATATAAATTGCATTCATCTTCCAAAGATCATCCCGTCACATTGTCAGTCCTGGTGGTTGACAGCAGTGATAGTAATGTTGGCATGTTTGGTTGCAGAAATGTACCGTATATCACACAATGGCAAAACTCAAAACCTGCCAGATTGCCTTGAATCACTTTGTCACAGTCTTCCATTTCCCAGTTTGCTTCTTGATGTTTCTGTAGAGTCAGCACTCTTACTCCCACACAAGTCTTTTCTTGACATGATCTTTTTATTTTCCCAATGCAATGGAATAGCTCCTTAGTAGGTTTCCAGAGAAAATGAATCCACTAGAGAGGATAACAGGAACGTTCACTGCCCAAATCACTTTTTGTTTTGTCTTTTCTTTTATTCCTTTTCAAACTGTCCAAACCTGATGATGAAATCCTGCTGATGCTTTCAGCTGTCTCATGGAATCCTGCTTGGAGTGGTTGGTACTGACATCCCGCTCATGGAAGTGATGAAGCTGGCGCCCAGATACATGGTGAGCTCACACCTTTTATTCTTTTATCTAATTCCTCAGTTACATGTAAACACACACACACACACACACACACACACACACACACACACACACACACACACACACACACACACACACACA